GTGCGCTTCCACACACACAGGGGAGGACAGCGAAGACAGCGGCTAGGTCTGTCAGGCACGCAACAGAAGGAGGGGAGGAAGGGGGAGGGGGGCGAGGCGAGGAGGGAGGTAGCCTGTTGGAGCGCGGCTGCCCGGGGACGCCAGGGGCGCGCGGCATCGTCCGAAAAAGGCCAGCAAAAGCCCTCGCGTCCTTGGCGCGCGGTCCGGCGATGAGAGGCAGGCTTCGGGGATGGGCAGGCGGGGGGGGGGGGCATGGCAGGCCACCGTGCGCCAGGTCCGTGCGGACTGGCTGCCGCCCGCGCGGGTCGGGCGTGGGCTCGCGCCAGACTCCCCCGGGCAGGGCGGGCCGGGCGGAGGCGGGCCCTGCCCGCGCGCGCGCGGCGGGGGGGGGGGGGGGGGGGGCAATGCTGACCTCGCTCCGGCAACCGCTTGCCCCGTACCAGGCTCCGCGGTGACGAAACCTAAAGCCCACGCCGTTGAGGCCCGGTGTGTGGCCCGAGCACGCGCGTGCGCGTGCGATCTCTCAGCATTGTTCGATCCCCCACAAGCCAGACTAGCGCCCGCCCTGGAGACCCCCCGCCTCCTGCGCGCCCGGGAACCGGACGACGGTGTCGGCCCCACGCACATGCCCGGCCGGCGCGAGGGGGGCCAAATGCGTGGGGCACGGACACACACACACACACACACACACACACACACACACACACACACACACACACACACACGGCCGGCTCTCGCACGGCGGCGTAGCCACCGCAAGGTGCGGCACAACACCACGCAGAGCAGCGGCCCAGCCGAAGAGACCAGGGGGCAGAGCCACAGGCGCCGGCCCAAAGCCACAAACAGAGCGGCAACACGCCGGCGCGCTTGAGAATAGAAAGACCGAAGGTCCACGGCCAAGATGCTAATCTAACCCTGGTGGCCTCGGTTAATACAGCAACATTACGAGACAACGGCATTCCCGGATGCCAACTCATTGGGTGTGTGGTGCTTTGGCCATGACTCTCCGCGCGTCGGAAGGGCATTTGGCAATGATGTTTATTCGCGTGATCAGAGGAAGCGATAAACTGCCGACGGACCGTACTCCAGGTACTGTTCGTAGGAAAGTCCCGCCGTTTGGGCGGCTTCCTCGGCGCTGCCGGCCCCGGTGGAGGTGGCGGCCCCGGCGGATGTGGCCGCGGCTCCGGCCGCGGCGGGGCCGCCGGCAGACGGCCACACGAAGCGCGCCACCGTGGCCAGACCCGACCAGGGGGCGTTCGGCGTGGCAGCCGATGCGGCGGCCGCCGCATCCAGCAGGGTGTTCCCTCCGTCACTGGTGGCTGTGTGATTGTCGCCCAGGCCGCCAGGAGGGGTGGCGACAGATCCGCGTGCCGGATCGACTGTGGGTGACCCGGGCGTGAGGCCGAGCTCGGCAAGTGCGGCCGCCCGGCCCGGCAGTCCGGAGGACTCCAGATAGCGCGGTGGGCAAATCAGTCGCAAGGAAAAGCCCCCACTGCCGGGCTCGCCGCCGGCCAGGGAACCGATCGCGCCATCTAGATCCATGCTTGAGGAGGACCCGGTCAAGGGGCTGGATGCCGAGACACCGGGGTCTTCGGGCGACAGAACGGCCGCATGCTTGACGTATGGCAGCAGGTGCGAGACATCGTGGATGACCCGCTGGGCGAGGCCTGTGGACAATGGCAGAGGCGGGGGAGGGGGGGGGGGGCACGGGCAAAGAAGACCGGCGGAGGGGACGAGATAGAGGGGCCATCAGGATGAGACTGCGGGGGGGGAGGGGGACAGAGAGAACGCGGGGGCATGCGCATGCGCAAGGGACACGGCGGCATGAGCGGACAAGCGGACACGCACCCGGAATGAGTGACCCGCCGCCAGTAAGGAATATCCCGCCGAGGACACGCTCCTTCTGGTCCATGGTCGGCAGGGCGTCCACGGCATTTTGGATAAGCTGCGGCAGGGAGGGGAACTCCGCGCACGTGGGGCCCGACGCGTAGTCAGCAAAGAGGCCGGCCATGATGGCGGCAAATTGCGGGGATGCGCCCTCGGTCGCCGGGGCCGGGGCCCCAGTCGCGCCACTGCCGGCGCTGCCACCAATGCCGCCTCGGCTGCCGGTAGCCTCATGACCGATGGATCCCGGGGGGATGCGGATGTCCGCGGGGACTGTCTCCGGGTGGAAGAGAAGCTCAACTACCCGGTGTGCGGCCGCCGGGGGGATGGCCACGCGCTGATGAGTGGGGGGGGGGGAGGGGGGTAGGCATGGCACGGAGGAAGAAGGGGGCGAGGAGTCGATGTAAATACCTGAGTAGACAGGGAGAGGGAGAGGGGGAAAGAGGGGGGGAGAGAGAGAGAGAGAGGCCCAAATAGGGCACCAGGGAGGCCCACCACGCACATAGCCCGAGGACAGGGACACATCGGCGACCGACATGCGCTGGAGCTGCTGCTGAACCTGCTGGTACGTGAGGCCACCGACCGGCGGCGACAGGACCGGAGTGGCCTGGGCCCCGACCAGCGGCTGCCCGGCCGGCGACACGCCACCATACCCGTGTCCGCTGTAGGCGAAGGTGATCGACCCGAAGCCGATGGGGCCAATGTTGACGGCCAGCTGCCGGCCCGGCCCCGATGTGCGAGACACGGTCGGCGGCAGGAGCTGCGACGTGGGCAGGCCCCCAGTGAAGGCTCGAATGACCTGCTCTTTGGCCCGGCGCGCGTCGCCCAAAGAGGGAGTCCACTCGGCCCGGCGGGCGGCAGACAGTGGCACATCAGATCCACTGGCGGATTCACTGCCGGCCTGGGTGACTTCAACCGCGCGATCGCCTCGCCGGAACACCTGGATCGCGCTATCATGCATCAGATGCTGCGGCGGTGTAGATGGCGTAGACGGTTAGCGGTGAGGGGAGGAGGAGGAGCACACGAATGACGGGGGAGGCCATAGCAGCCGGGGGGGGGGGGGGGGGGAGAGAGAGAAAGGAACACGACAGGCAAGGGACGGGATGAGAGGCGGAGAGACGGCGGAGCAGCGGCAATGGCAGTAGCAATTCCTGCTGCCGCCGCTGTTGCCGCAGCTGCTGCACATGCGCACCCAAAGCATGTACTGGTCAAGGAGATTGCCGGCCAGCGGGGAGCGACGTGTTGCATGGCGAACTGGCTCGCTATCCAACACCGGGGTCACCTCTATAAAAACGGTGGGGCATGGGGCGTATCAATATCGACAGCAGCCGAGGGGGAAGAAGAGAAGGCGAGGGAGCCGGAGCCGACGCACCAACACACTCGGCTCCAATGTCAATGACCAGGCCATCGGTCAGACCACAGCCCCAGAGAGCGGCCACGGGCCGTGGGACTCCCATGAGCGCGGCCACCGGGACGTCCAGCCCTTCGAAGGCGATCTGCGCCAGATATTCCAGATCCCGGCGAGGCTGCAGCGAGGGCAGAGCCACCGTGTGCGCCGGCAGGAGCGCCTGCGTCCGGAGAAACGGGGCCGCAGATGCCAGGGCCGTGGCGCAGTGTTGCCTACCCCAAGTGAGGGGAGGTGATGGTGGTGGTGGTGGTGGGGGTGGTTAGAGGTTGGGGCCAGTGAATCAAGAGGGTGGAGGGAAGGAGAGAGAGAGAGGGGGGGGGGACAAGATCTGACGCGCGCGTACCAGGTAGCCGCATATGCTTCCCAGTTAGTGACAATCCCCGCGGAGAAGGGTGACACGTCAAGGCCCGCCGGCGGAGGGGCCAAATCAAACGGCCCGTCACCGGAGCCCGGGAACCCCCGCCCACCCAGGGCCTCGGTTGAGGTACAGAAATGCAGCAGCGGTGGGGCCAGCGGATTGGCTGGGCCATAGCGCGTGGAGAACCCACCCACATCCAGGGCGGCCCCGGCGGCGGCGGCGGCGGCGGCGGCGGCGGCTGCTGCTGCTGCTGCGGACGACATACTTCAACGGCCCCACGAAACGGGGAGGGGGGAGGCTACCCAGAGGCGAGTGAGGGGAGGACAGAGGAAGAAGAGAGTGGGTGTAGGTACGTGGAGGTGCGTGCGTGTGTGTGTGTGTGTGTATGGGTATGCGTGCGTGTGCAACCGGGCCGAGGAGTGCAGTGTGGTGGGTGGGGAGGGGTAAAAAGGGGAGGCGGCGCTGCCACACTGATAGGGCCCGTATGATGGCGGAGCACTCCCATTTTTCGGGCGATCCTGAGATTCCCCCCTCCCCTCGCCCTGCCCCCTGACCGAGGAGCCGGCGCGGCGCGTACACGCACCAGCGCGTCCCGATGAACGGCCAGCGATCAACTAGCCAACAGCCAACGCATTCGCGTAACGATGGCACATATCATGCCTGTGGTGGGCGTGATCATACTCGCCGCTGGTGAGGTGACCTGCCCCTTTCCCTCCCCGAACCAGGGAGAAGAAGGACAAGGAACACACCACAGGCAAGGGGAGAGGCCGACGACGCATCGGCTCTAGATCTTCCGGGCTGCGACAGGGGGAATCGCACTGGGGGGGGGGGGGGGGGGGGGGGGGGGGGGGGGGGGGGGGGAGTGGGGCAAGAGCAGC